TAACCATGTTAACGACAGGTCGTTGACAAGTGCGCTGGGTCCGTGGGTCAAACTAACTTGGTGGGGGGTCCGTTTTATTTTAAAGGATATTGAAACTAAATACTGAATATAAAATGCAGTGCATGAACACACATTTATATTCTATCGAACTTTTTAAAGAATAATTTCTCCCAAGACTTATTATGAGGAGCCTACTGATTTTTAAAATATATTTTGAAAAGCTTCACGTACCCCCTGCAGTACCTCCACGTACCCCCAGGGGTACGCGTACCCCCATTTGAGAATCACTGCTCTAAGATACAGGAAGCCAGTGGAAGGACTTTAGAACTGGGGTGATGTGCTCTACTTTCTTAGTCTTAGTGAGGACACGGTCAGCAGCATTCTGGATCAGCTGCAGCTGTCTTATCCACTTTTTAGGCAGACCTGTGAAAACAATGTTGTAGTGATCTGTTCTACCAAAGATAAGTGCGTGGATTAGTTTATCCAGATCCTGCTGAGAAACCTCTAGAAGTTCCTTAAATATTTGGTAGTGTTAGGGATTCGTAGACTTGAGAAACTTGATGAAAGGCCTTTTTCTTAAGTTTGAGAGTAGGGTAAATTACAAATTTTTTCAGCAGTTAGGAGTAAAAAAAATCTTTAATTGGATATCCATCAGTTCTTTCTGAAGACGTTTCAAACCCTATCCAAGAGTCTGTCAATTCTGGTGGCTCGCACTTCAGTAAAACTGGTAGCGTACTGTAATGTACACTACCAGACCTGACCAGGCCTCTTGGATAGGTTTGGAAATGTTTTCAGAAATAACAGAGTGAAGGTCCAGTTGCCTCCAATTTAAACCTGTTTGGTGTCATGATGACCCAGGTTACTAAGAGTTTGAACTGCCATGAATAAAAAAAAAAAAAGCACTCTAAAAAGTTTTATAAATACGGCACCAGATTTTTGGTTACTATTAAAATGTTCGATTTACAAAACTCTGATTATACAGGTAATGTGCCTCGAGGCTGCAACAAACAACCGTGCACAAACTGCGTTTGCTGCCTTCGAAAAAGCAACTGAGAAATATGGCATACCTTCTAGGTAAGTTTTAAGTTATCATGTTTTGGAGTAAGATCTTAAGCATTGATTGTATCCGATCATTTTACCTTTTTGTGAAAGTGTTATATACCACAGAGTTTCTGGAAGACACTTTGCATCACTTAATTTCTGAGGAGATTGTTCTGGGCTCTTTGTTTTACATTCTTTTTATCTGTCTCTTTAGTTTTCCTTTATCAACCGCATCCAGGGAGGTTGACTATATAGTCCATTGAACTTATTAATAATTTGTCCTACTGTAGCCATATGAACATCTGGTGGCTTAGACATAATTTTGTAGTATTCACCCTTTAATATGGCTGTCTGTGATATCCTCTTTACTCTTCTGAAACCATGCTCCCGTTTGCTCTTTGGTTCAAGTTCAGTGTGATACACACCATGTCACAAACAGTACTCAATATTTAAAGGCAGGCAGGTTTTTTTTATTAGCAGATGTCCCTCAGTTTAGGACGTCCCTTGCGTTACATTAATCTGAATCCTATCTAGCAGTGCCATTATCTTTGTCTAGGCCTGGTTCCGTAATTATTTTTATGGCTGTTTAACAATTCAAAGCGATGACTGTCATTGGTTAATTTTCAGTATTTTTTAATATCCATTTTTGTTTTTTTCAAGACGAATTTACACACGGTTTATTCATTCATCTTTTGATCTGGAATTTTGTATTAATTGTGAGAACACATTTTATTTTAAAATTAATTATTTTTTTAAATATAACTTTTATGCTGTATCTGTTTGGATTTCAAAAGAGGTGAGGATTTAGTGTTGCGGATTTCAGGCAGGAGTGAGTTCAACAGAAGAGCGTAGGGCATAGTTGGGGGAGTGAAGGGAAGGAACTGAGGGAGCTAGAACTGGTGACAGTGTGTATGACAGACAGGTGGAGAATGGAGGTTGTGGATGGCTTACAACGTGTGGAGGATGATTTTAAAATTGTAACTCCATCTTCATTGCCCATAACAATATAAAACTTTTCAATTTTAGAATCTTTTTATGAAGTTGCACAGACATGCATAATGTACAAACATTACCTGAGTTTTATGCTGTATAATTTCCTAATCATGCTATTAGATCTTCTGTCAATGTGCTACAGGGTCAGAGCCGACCAAGGGGTAGAGAATGTAGAAATAGCCCACTACATGTTCACAGTCCGTGGATCCGATGGAGGAAGCTTCATCTCTGGAAAAAGTGTCCACAATCAAAGGTTTCAAGCTTCTGCATAGCTTTGAGATTTGATTACAGAAAGATGTTCACTGTAAACATACTGATATTTTATTATCTGACAAGTCTTCGAAGTTAAACACTAACTATGTTATTTTCTGAGTGTGTAGGATCGAACGGCTGTGGCGTGATGTCAGGACCTGTGTGACCTCAAAATACTACAGCCTACTGCACAACCTAGAGACTGATCACCTTCTTGATATTTCCTCCAGGGGTTAGTTTCATGATTGGGAAGAAGGGATGGGTGCAAGAATAATTCAAGAATAATGAAAAGTGTATGGAACCCACCCCCTCCAAAAAAAAAAAAGAGAAAATAATGAACATTTCCTCTCCTTTACAGAGGACCTTTTTGCAGTTCACATGACCTTCCTTCCGAAACTCAAAGCAGACCTGGAGGCTTTTGTGGAAGGCTGGAACAACCATCCACTTAGGACGGAGGATAACCTAACTCCAGAGCAGCTCTGGCATACTGGAATGATGCTTTACCCGATGGATCAGCCAGAGAATCTTGAGTTTTTTTTTTCTCATTTTGTAAAATACCATTTGAGCCTTTATGATCATTAAATAAGTGTATTTAAAGTACAGAAAAGGTTATTTACACTGCAGATCAAAAATTGGCCTTATGTTACTGTCAGGGGCTCAGAGGTTTGGACCCAGTATTCAGACGAGACAGACAGTGAAGCTTTTAACGAGTTTATTGAAACAAGCTGCGTG